TGGAGCTGAGGATATCGTGGATATGCTGACCTCGCTGCGTGGTGTACAGAGCGAGGTCAGCATGATTAATATTCACAATAAAAATATTAGCCGAACATCATGAAGTCTGTATGTGTTTCATAGTGTCGAACAACCTTTGTACAGTTAAAGCCAGCAGTTACTACATGACGGAAACACCAACATTATCTCTTTTATGCGTTTATACACAGGTCACGCTGATTACTGAACAAAAACCCAAAGATCAGATGTTAAACAGATTTATTTGCTCTCTCTCCTCCTTAAACATGTTTTTAATGTTAGTTATAATTCAGAATTGGCGACTGAAACACGTAGGACACATAAGAACATCAGGAAATAAAACACCGATAAATATAACCTCAGTAAAAGAAGTCAACGGGGGTTACTACAGCTGTGTACCGGGGCCTGCGCTTTGTCGGTGGGATTGCTTGCGAGGCGAGCGGGTCTATCCCACGCTTTGCTGTGAGACTGGGCAGACATCTCCGAAATCATCGAAGCACTTTTGCAAAGAGGCTGTATCTTGACAAACCGACCAGGCACATGAAGATTAAACCACTACATTCTCGGCTAAAAAATATTAAAACGGTATTTGGTAATACACAAACAGGGTTTTTCAAAGTTCAGTTCTGTTAGCTTCCAAATGCCGGTTGTTGTGTGCTAGAAACTAGTGATGTGCGGATCGATCCTGAAATATCGATTCCTCCGATACCAATCATTTATGTTCTAGAATCGATTCTCACGTTAAAATATCGATGTTTTAGTAATATAGGGTGAATTTGTAGTTTATCATTAACAGGAACACAGTGGAAAGAAACTATAACATTCGGATTGTCTACATTCAAAGGAACTACTTCCTCTTCCGCCTTTCATTGTCATGTGCGAAATACGGCTGTATAAATGCCTCGCAGCCCCTTGGCGCGCGCACTCACAAAAATGGCTATGCGTAATTGTGCGGACGTATTTTACCTCCAAACAGCTGAGATGTGGTTTGCGATACATGTGGCAAAAAAGTGAGGTGTTTTGGCTATCCGGTTGTTCAGTCTGACGTCACTAGCAGTGTCTGGGTCTAAACTCCGCTGCAGGTCCATATATCAAACGATCACTATGGCATTACTGAGAGTTGAAAACCTGTCTAAAGTCTTTCATCTTTAATAAAATGATCAGCGTTCTGCTCTACCAGGTGTAACAATTGAGTTTAACATCCAGGCATCCATGAAAACGGACATTTATGACATTTAACGGAGTTGGAAGTTAGCAGGAAGTTAGCTCGGTAGCTTCTATCTAAATACAATATAGCATGTCCTGACTGCAGGGTTTTGGAAACAAATTAAAACGTACAGCTCTGTTATCACTTCCAACATAATTGAAGACAGAAAACGAAACAGCAGTGATGTTTGTAGGGTCACTGAAGTTGGGCTAGCTGGTATATAATGATGTGCTACGTGACCGCTAGCGACACAGCTATGTTAGCATAATATGAACAAGCTAACTTTTTTTCCACTCAATAAAAGTTAACGTGAGTGTTCTCGGTGGCCAGGAACAAATGTAATCGCATGGCAGGGTGCTGTAAAAGGACCAAACTTCAGCCAGGAGAACAACAGAGATAATCCATCCACAATACGAGGTTAGTCATTCATATACTGCTGCATGGGCTGGGCTGTAGTTACATCCTAAGGTTTTAAAAACTCATCTTAAATAAATGATTAGCGGTAATAAAAGCAGAGGGAGGTCAGCAGTGATCACTGACTGTTTTAGGAGCTTTTTGAGATCAAATATAAGAAAATACATAACATTAAACATGTTAACAACACAAAAGCCATATTAAACGCAGACTACTTTAGACCCGGAAGTAGGATTCATCGCGTCATCACTGAACAACCGGATACTTGCCAACCTTGAGACCTCAGAATTAGGGAGACATTCAAAGGGGCTGTTGGGGGGTGATAAATACATTTTGCAGTGTTTATTTATCGGATAAAATACGTTAAATGTCACCGTTATTATTGGCGGGCCCGGAAACAGCGGGGTGTCCAAATTCAGAGGCTGTTTCCACCTGAGGACCCAGCCTTCGCGGTCTAAAGAAAGCCGGGTAGTACGTCACGAGCTCCCTCGGTGGAGTGAAACTCTCCCGTCTGCTCCTTGCTATCTAAAATATAACCGGGCGCTGGCGTAAACTCTGGACCGTCTCACACTTTGTTTAATTAGTCTTCTGTTTGATGTTTATTCAGCTGTGTGAAAACCCCGGAGGAACCCTCCTGAGGGATTAATAAAGTTAAATTTAATTTACTTTAATCTAATCTAATAACTTTAATCTCAGCCAAACCAATTTACTCACCAACAAATAAAACACTGAAAAAGCCAAACAATAACATTTTTAAGTTATCAAAGTGACTTATATATCATGTTTAACCTGAGTAGTGAAAGACCGCGGGTGTTTGAAAACGATGTGTCGGTTGGCTCAGATATTTGAAGTTTACACAGCTACATTCTCACCTGAAAATATCTTAAAAGTTTTTTTGCAACCCAGAAAGAGAAGTAAGAGTAATATTAAAACGAAGTCGCTGCCGCCATTGTTGGAAACTGGAATTGGCTGGGCGGCGCTTTGAATTCTGCGATATGGTTTTTCAATTTTGTTGTCGAGGTGGAAAATCGGGAGAAATTCGGGAGAATGGTGGCTCCGGGAGATTTTCGGGGGGGGGCACTGAAATTTGGGATTCTCCCGGAAAAATCAGGAGGGTTGGCATGTATGGTTGTGGCAACATCACTAACCTTGTCAAACACCTCAGAGTAAATCATATCACAGAATATGACGAGCGTATGTTGAGGCGAACTGAAGAGGAGGACCGGGACAGGTGCTGCTAGGGCGAGACAGACGTCTCCCACGGAATCCTTTAGTGATGCAGGCAGGCAAGGTGTTCAAATAGGCACTTCAGTTTTTTTCATTTCTATATGATGAACTCTGCACTATTAAGTGATAAGAACAAGTAATCTGATGTCCTGTAATCATTATGACGCTATAATTTGAGATACAATAAATAAAATAAGTTTTTGTACAGAGTATCGTATCGGATCAGTATCGTCGATACCACCCTGAATATTACTTGGTATCGGATCGGAAAGAAAATCAGTGGTATCGCACATCACTACTAGAAACAATGGCCACCAGGCCAAAGCAATGGTTTTGACTCGATCAGCGTTGACCCCGCCCCCTGAGTTTGATGGGTGAGGCTGACAGATAAAATTATTTCGTGATGAGAGCCAGGCGCCAGGACTGCCAAAATGAAATAAATAAATATATCATTAAATAATTAATTAAATGTGTCAATAATTAATTAAAATGTGAAATACATAAATAATTAATTAAATGTGTCAATAATTAATTAATTACATGTGTCATAACTATTTATTTAATTAATTAATTCCAATTTTTATTAATTATTGACACATTTAATTAATTATTTAATGGTGTATTTAATTAATTCATTATGGCAGTCCTGGCGTTCCATAGATTGGTTGACAGTAAATTTTAGGTTTCATTTTAAAATTTTAGAGCTCAAAACGGTGAAGCTCCCCAGTATATCTCTGACCTTTTGAAACCTCGTGCTTGTTCCTGAGCACTTAGATCTTCTGGTCAGAAGATACTATTGCTCCCATGTACTAGATTGAAAACACGTGGGGATCGGACACAGACACCAGGGCTGTGGAATTCTCTTCCGTTGTCATTATGCTACATAGACTCCGTTGACTCTTTTAAAAAGCAGCTGAAGACATTTTTCTACAAACAAGCTATTAATTACTTTTTTCCATTGTTTTGTATTATTTTTGTATTTTTATTATTTTATTTTTATTTGTGATTTTATTGTGAAGCACTGTGCTTTTTATCTATGAAAGTTGCTATATATAAATAAATTTTACTTACATACTTTTAGTTACCTCGTTTATTATAGTTTGTTATTGTTTGTTGTCATTCTAGCGTTCGTTATCTTCCCTTATCAATTGTTGTTGTTCTAGTTATCATGTTCGTTATCTTTGTTATCGTTCATTATCAATCGTTATCGCTTGTTATAGTTTGTTATCGTTCTAATTGTCATGTTCGTTATCTTTGTTATCTTTGTTATCGTTCGTTATCAATCATTTTCTTTCATTATCATTCTTTTAAAATGTAGCTGAAGACATTTTTCTACAAACAAGCTATTAATTACTTTTTTCCCTTGTTTTATATTATTTTATTTATATTTGTGGTTTTATTGTGAAGCACTGTGATTTTTATCTATGAAAAGTGCCGTAGAAATAAATTTTACTTTCTCACTTCTAGTTATCGCAATAACAAACAAAAACGCGTTCGTCCGTTATTGTTTGTTATTATTCTAGTTATCGTGTTTCATTATCATTTGTTACTGTTCTACTTGCGTGTTTGTTATAGTTCGTTATCGTTCTAGTTGTTGTGTTCGTTATGTCTCGTTAGTGTTCGTTATCTTTGTTATCATTCTTTATCCTTCGAATTATTGTGTTTGTTGTCTTTATTATCGTTCGTTATCATTCATTCTTTCGTTATCGTTTGTCATTGTTTGTTATAGTTCTAGTTATTGCGTTTGTTATCGTTCTAGTTATGTGTTCGTTATCTTTCGTTAGTGTTTCTTATGTTTGTTATCATTGTTATCGTTCTGGTTATTGCTTTCATTATCATTCATTATCATTCGCTATCTTTGTTATTGTTCATTATTGTTCATTTTCTTTCTTTCATTATCATTCGTCATCATTTGGTATTGTTCGGTATCATTTATTTTCTTTCATTGTTGTTCGTTATTATTTGTTATCATTCATTTTTTTTCATTATTGTTGATTATCATTCATTATTGTTCTAGTTATCATGTTCGTTATCATTCGTTATCACCTGTTATCGTGTCTGGCATGACTCTAACCCTAACAATGCCTCTCACAGCTGACTGCTGTAACCCTGTGTGTCTGTGTCTCTTTCTTAGCGGTGCGCATGTCTCGGCTCTCCTGTCTCTTAAAATTGGGCTCTCAGCTGCTGACACTCGCTCTATCAGACGCAGTGTGGAGGAGAATCACCACGGTGACGTCTCCACCAATTACAGTCCTCCGTTCTTCTCCAAGGTCAAAGTCAAATGGATTGACAACAAGATGAATCAGATGGGACTGTAGGTATAACAACATGATGTTAGTAGTTCAGGATGTGAGCAGTGTTTCCTGTATGCTAGCCTTCTATTTCATCCTAATGCAAGCAAGTATTTTGTTGTGAAAGGTGCTGCTGGAGCCCATGATGAAGGACAGAGCAGCAAACACAGTGGCTATGTCCAAATTCAGGGGCAGCATGTTTCGAAGGACCCAACCTAACCAGTCCATGTAGGGTGGGTCCTTCGAAAGCTCATCTCACACTTCTGTTTGATATTTATTCAGCTGTGTGTAAACTATAACTTTAATCTCAGCCAAACCAATTTACTCAAGAACAAATAAAACACTGGAAAAAAACCCCAATAACATTCTAATTTATCTATTTGACTATTTGAAGACCGCGGGGGTCTGAAAACGATTTGCCGGGAGTCCGGTGCTCTCTCCGGCTCTAGTGAGCCTTAACCTCCCAGTCAGCTATCGAGTTGGTGGGTAACAGACGTCTCCGAAAACATCGGAGCACTTTTGCAAATATGTGATGTCTTGATAAATTGAACATGTATTTGAAGTTTACACAGGTACATTCTCACCTGAAAATATCTTAAAAATTTATTTTGTGACCCAGAAAGAGTAATATTAAAACTAAGTAGCTGCTGCCATTGTTAGAAACTGGAATTGGTTAGGCTGCACTATGATTTCTGGGATAGGGTGTGCCACGAAGGATATCCAACCCATCCTTCAAATCTGGGGAAAAGGAGGATGCATTTGTTGCCGCATTTGGAAGAGTCTTCGAATTTGGACAGCCTTCGTCACGTCACTGTGACGTAATTGCCTACAAATGCGGCATTCGAAGCAAATGCAGAGAGAGAACCCACGCAAACACGGGGAGAACATGCAAACTCCACACAGAAAGACCCCGGCCTGATGGTGGAATTGAACTCAGGACCTTCTTGCTGTGCGGCAACAGTGCTAACCACCGTGTCACCGTGCTGGGCATTCGAAGCATGCTGCCCCTTAATTTGAACACACCATATATCGTTACAAATTCTCGAGAGCTGTGCAGCAGGGCTCTGCTTTCTTCTGATTGTCTGGTTTCTGGAAGCCTGCAGAGGAGAAGACAGAAATCTGTGAGTGTACTCTAATGTCCAACAGGTAATAATAATAATAACAATAATACATTTTATTTGAAAGTGCCTTTCAGAACACTCAAGGACACTGTACAAGGTAGAATAATAAAAGAAACATAAAAGCAAACAGTTTACACAATCATAAAAGCATAAGACATAAAACAAATTTAAAATAGCAGAGTGGAGAGGTTATGTGGGATAAACTATTTTGAACTAGTGAGTTTTGAGTTGGGACTTAAAGAGAGAGAAGGAAGAGATAGTTCTTAAATCAGGAGATAGTGAATTCCAGAGTCGAGGAGTAGAGCAGCTGAAAGGGTGATAATACGGGCAGCAGAATTCTGGACGCGTTGGAGCTTGTGGATGGATTTTTGAGTAAGACCAAAAAGAAGTGAAATACAATAATCAATCCGAGAAGTAACAAGGCTATGGACAAGAATGGCAGTGGCATGTGGGGTGAGAAAAGGACGGAGACGATTAATGTTGCGCAATCGAAAATATGCAGATCGACTAACATTATTAATGTGTGAATTGAAAGATAGAGTACTGTCGAGGATGACACCCAAGCTTTTCACAGAGGAAGAAACAAAGACCGGCGAGTTATTGATAGTAACAGAGAAACTGTTGGTTCTGGATAATGTTGATTTAGTGCCTACCAAGAGAAGCTCGGATTTATTATTATCAAGTTTGAGAAAATTAGAAGAGAACCATGAATTTAGTCCGGCTAAACAAATGGTGAGGGAGGATGGGGGAAGAGCAGAATCAGGTTTAGTGGACAGATAAAGCTGGGTGTCATCGGCATAACAGTGAAACTGAATATTGTATTTACAAAAAATGTGTCAGAGCGGTAGAAAGTAGATAATGAAAAGAAGGGGCCCCAGGATAGATCCCTGGGGCACACCAGTGGTCGGAGGAAATGGCTGAGAAGTAAAGCAGTTGAATAAACTGAGTGCGATCAGTCAGGTACGATTTAAACCAGGCTAGTGGAGTATGGGAGAGACTGATGGAGGCTAGCCTACTGAGAAGAATGGAGTGAGAAATAGTGTCGAAAGCAGCGCTCAGATCGAGGAGAATAAGGATGGAAAGTAAACCGGAGTCAGCTGCTATAAGAAGATCATTGGTTATTTTAAGTGTTGTTTCAGTGCTATGGGAGGAGCAAAAACCAGACTGAAACTGTTCATACAGATTATTATTAGTTAAATATGAGTGGAGTTGTGTGGGAACTATTTTTTCAAGAATTTTTGAAAGGAACGGTAGATTGGAAATAGGCCGAAAATTCTCAAAATTACTGGGATCTAGACCAATTTTTTTTTCAATATTGGGGTGATGGCAGCAATTTTGAGGGAAGCAGGAACAGTTCCAGTGGTAAGTGAAGAATAGATTATGGCAGATATTAGGGGAAGCAAAGAAGGTAGACATGCCTTAACCAAAACTGTAGGAATGGGATCTAGGTGACAAGTAGAACGTTTTGACTTACAGATGAGATCTGAGATATCAGTAACCGAGGGGAGCTGGAAAGCAGAAAAACAGTGTGATGGGAGAGGTATTACAAAGGAAGAGCTAAATGGAACATCGGAAACCAGGTCATGGTGTATTTTGTGAATGGTGTGCTCACCTGCCACATAAAGAAGAGCAGGAATGATTTCCTGAAGCATCGGCACTAAATGCGTCTGAGGAGGCGTTATGTTTGTCCCACACACAGACACAGGCAGAAATTCACAGACACATAAACAGAGACACACACACACACACGCACACACACACACACACACACACAAAGTCATTTTCATATCCTAGTGAGGACATCTAATTGACATAATGCTTTCCCTATAGCCGCTTACTCTAACCATGAAAAGTGAATGCCTAAACCTAGCCATAACCTAACTGTAACCCTGATACTAAAACCACAAACATGCCTTTAAAAACACAGGTATAGTGTTCGCCTGAAAATATGTTAAAAGTTTATTTTGTGACCCAGAAAGATTAATAAGAGTAATTTTACAACTTAGTAGTGGCCACCATTGCCGGAAACTGGAGTTTGGCTGGGCCGCGCTATGAATTCTGGGATATGGTGGGCCACGAAGGACACACACGACCCATCCTTCAAATTTGGGGAAAGGAGGATGCATTTGTCGGCTGCATTCGGAGGAGTCTACGAATTTGGACAGCCTTTGGCGCATCGCTTGTGACATAATCATGTACATGACATATGTAGGATCAGAAACATTCCAAAAATCAGCCAATCAGAAGAAGAAATGCTCTTCTGCAGTCTGATGTCCTCTGGGCCTCGTTCACATGGCCTAGCTCCTCTTCCTCTGACCGGCTTCCAGCAGTGATGTTTGTCAGTGACGCTGTTCAGAGCTTTGTTACTTTAATCACCTGAACGCAGCGAGCTCGAGCTGATGTTTGACGAGCTCGAATATGAAGCTGCTAGAAATCTGTGCAGAAACTGGTCGACATCTTCATCTCCTTCATGTTCACCACCGCCTGCTCTGCACCACACTGCCACACAGCTTGTTTGCAAGATGTTGATATACTGACTTATGACATACTGAGGATGTTATTAACAGTAACAGAAATACGTTAATATTAATAGTAATATATGAGAAATTATAGTATTTCAGAGGAGACAGAGACAGTACTGATGTATTCTGGTCTAAAGACTTCCTGTATTTGAGTATTTAATGATCCTTTTTCCTGAAGTGTTCATGTACTCCCTTCCTCTTAAACGTCCTCTATGACTTAATTTACAGAAACTACATTTCCTGCATCCATTTCAAAATAAAACCATTCTTATGTTTCAGTAGTAGAGATGCTTTGTTTCTCTTATTGTGAAACATTCTTTGGGACACAATTTTTGGGGTTTAGGAATCATTGAGCAGGAGAACATATGTTTAGCTGGTAACGTTTACTGGTTTAAACATGAGAGCAGAGAAATCTGCTGGGTCTGACCGGGAGAGAGGAAGATGACACTCAGACAAATTTTATTCATTCAGTCCAGTATTTAATCATGTTTAATAATACTCCAGTAAAAGTGGAAGTACTGGCTCTGAAATGTATTCAAAATATGAAAGTAAAAGTATCTTCTTGGAGGACGTTTCTACCAGCTGTTTTATCCAAATCTAACTGAACTCTGCGCTATATTAATGTAATAAAATAATAATAGTAGATGGAAATACAAATCTTATTTCAGTCTAAATTTTAATTATAATATTTAATTTTAATAAATGAACTCAACTTGAATCTGTTAAGTAGAACACGAGCAGAGAAAAAGGAAAATAAAAAATAATTCTATTTTCTGTTGCCTCCATTGTAGAAGGGTGACTTTAGCTCTAAACAGTAAAATGTGCACAGTCAGGGGTTACAGTGTGATCGTTGCCCCCTTGGTGTGACAGGTGCCTGGGAGGGGTGCGATCCTAGATCCCACAGCTGTGTATTGAAATAAAGAGGCACAGATCATGAACTTGTTTACGATTCAACTGCAGGATTTATTCTGCTCATCAAAAGGGGAACAAATCATTAATCGCCTCTCATAAGAACCAGCAATTCTTTGTAACGTGTGGCATAACAGCTGTCAGCGCATTTGCAAAAGTACAGGAATAACCTTGGCGAGTATACATTAACCATCATAAATATAGACAACATTGGCTCGCAGTGACCAGGTTGCCCCAGCCTTGGTTCCGGTTACACATACATATCACTGCATCAAGAAATACAATGTACTGTAACTCACAGCCCGTGAATAGCAAATAACCATTCATATACAGCACATGAGCAGCTATGCAAGCATTAATTACAGCCTTTGCATCCTGTCTTACTTCAACAAGACATATAGAGAACACACAACTGACAACGTGCCTTAGCATCGCTACGGTACTTGAAGCTCACTTCCCCCGCTAGCCAGTCCATTAGCCTAGCACGGTCACGTTCACATCACGATCTCATTCAAAACACAATACTTCAACAGTACTTAACTTATAATGGTATACTTTCATTCATGAGTTCACAAAAGTCTTATTGCTTCTACTGTGTTACCTATTAGTCATTTTGAGGACTAGTAACCCACCTGTGTATTGAAATAAAGAGGCACAGATCATGAACTTGTTTACGATTAAACTGCAGGATTTATTCTGCAGATTTGCCTCCCAGGGGGGTTTACGCTCCTCCTGGCCGCTATGCGCCACCTACTGGTATTTTTTAAGTAATGCCATGGAAGATGTAAAGTGTAAGTAGAAAATACTGAATCAACACTGAACGATATACAAAGACCAAAATATAACTGGGGTGTTCCCTTTTTTCCTTGTATGAAGACATAAACTGAACTAACAACCCCATAAGTCTGTTTATCTCTTAACTTTTTAACTATTAGTGTAATCCAGATTTACCAGCCACACATTTCAACTTAAAC